CACTAAAGAAAGTCTTATAGCAAACTGTTCCTAAATAAATTATCTATATTCAAGGAAAAAGCTAAAAACATTTATAACAACATAAAAATCCTCAGCACCCAAAAAGTTAAATTCATAATATCTGGCATCCAATCAAAGACTACTAAGGATATAAAGAGGAAGAGAAAGATGGCCCATAAAATGATTAAGTTAGTCAAATTTGACTCAGACATGACGCAAATGTTAGAATTAAAGAAAAGAACATTAACATAGATAACATAATTGCATTCCACATATTCATAAAGCAAAGAAGTGACATGAAAGATATAAAAATGAACAAAATAAAATTGTAAATGTGTGAGGTTGTAATAAAATGAATACATTAAAGGCATAGTGGACAATTGAAAAGAAGAGATTAATTCCTGTTGAGGAACAGAAACTATCCAAAGAAAGAGACTAAGAGAAACAAAATGACAAAATGAAGAGTATCAGTGAGATGTGGGACAACACTAAGCAGCATAATATTTCTGTAGAGATGAGGTACGGAATAAAGAAGTATTTGACAATAATGGTATCATCACTGCTTCTATTCTACATTATAGTGGAGGCTGTAGTCCATGCAATCAGGCAAGAAGAGAAATACAAAGAGAATTTGAAGAGAAGAAATAATACTCCCTTTATTTACAGACCACATGGTCATTTGTGTAGAATATCGATTGGCTTTGGGAAGAAAAGTACTAGAACTAATAAATGATTTTTAATAATGCAGAACACAGAGGAATATCACATTGCTTTTCTATATACTAACATCTACTCTGAAAAAAGTACAAATACTAATAGTAAAAATTATGGAGTAACTAGGGATAAATAGATCAAAAAGATGTGTAAGACTTGTACTCTGCAAACTTATAACATTGATAAGAAAACTAATGATACCCAAATAAATGGAGAGACACATTTGGTTCATGAGTTGGAAAACTCACTATTATCAAGAATTGATTGTTCCCAAACTGAGTTATGGAGTCAACATAATGCCAATCAACATCCCAGCAAGATTTCTTGGAGAAATTGATAAGCTAATTCTAAAATGTATATGAATATGTTAAAGGGCTTAGTTTAGTCAAAACAACTTCAAAAAGGAAGACAAAACTTGAAAGGCTAATACTACTTATTTAAAAATTATTAAAAATACAATACTCAGTAAATTAAACAACTCAAGGAGCAAAAAAAAAGAGTTCAAAAACAGACTTTGACAAATATACAATTGCAAAAACCTTTTAGAGATTCTTGTAACTCTAATTTAAGCCCATCATTTGGAGTAAAAATACATGGAATGTCAAATCTGAAAGAAGTTATAAAAATATTGATAAACACACACAAATGAATTCAGAGGTTCTTGATAGTAAAACATGATGTAAAAAAGACGATTTAGAATAACTCCATTGGAAATGTCAGTACTTGAAATAGCTCTGCCAATAACACACCTTAAACAGCCTGTGGTGTCACCATGCCTCCCATCAGTGGTCACGTCTAATGCGCATTCCCAGGGCCAGAGTTTATCCATTGTACTGGTTGCTACTAATGCTGGCTAGGACTCATGGAAGAGAAATTGGCATCAAGTAAAAATGAAGGGGAAACCTGGGGCATTCTGTGGCTCTCCAAAAACAGTGATATTTTCAGAGGCATCTGGAAGAAAAATGAATAAAGCCAATTTGGAGAGAATGCCCACCCAAAAAAAATTGGTGAAAATTTGAATATTAGAAAATAATAATTAAAATAAATTGGAATGAGCTGAACTTGGCATCTGAGCAGTGAGTTCCTGATAATACACATGAAAATGCACATGAGACAAAAGTTTAATGAAAATATTGTCATACATACTTGAATTTTGAATATTAATAAAATTGTGACTAAATCATAAAATATTATATATTATCTAAAATTAAAAGTACTTACTCATAAATTAGTGGTGAAATGAGAACATTTTCTAAGAAATTCTGATTCTAAGAAAAAATCAGTTATATCATATTTTTCCATGGAAATTATAAGTATAGTTTATGGTGTGAGATAAAGTCAAAAGCAGTTATCTCAGATAATAGGGCAGCACTTTATATATTAGTCAGAATATAATATGGCCAAAATATAGTAAACATTTCCATCACTTTCAGTTTTGTGTAACATATCATTTGAGGGAGCTGATACACTATCCTCTTGTATAGGATACTTTTGAAAATCCAAGCTAGCAAAAGCTTCTCCTCTAACAGCCCAGATTAGAAGTGAAAGTTAACTCTACCTGCTTGTCACTCTCTCCTCTGCTTCTGCTCCATTATTCCTCTATTGCAGCTTCTCTGCAAACACCTTCTACAGTCTGTCAGAAGCAGCATCTCCTTTGTCTTCCATTCCTGGAGAGCACAGTGTTGCTGTGATTAGTGTTTACAGTAACCCCTTGTACTCTGTCCACCACCAACAAGCAAATTAGAACAAGTCAAGAGCCTAACAGAAACCAGGTCAAGTGTAGTGGAAGTCGGAAAGACATACATGCTTTCGAATGGGCTTCTCTCCTTCCTGCACTCCTAACTTGGAAGGCAGGCATGGGTTTTTTTGGCATGGTTATCTTTTACTAAAGCTAAACCTAAAACACCCAATTCATCTTTACTAGCATTTGAGAGCAATCAGGAAGTTAAATGTTGTTTAATAACTTCCACAATCATCTCTTTCAGAGCAGATGATTAACTCATACATATAGTTTGTGGTGTCATTCTCGTTATTAATGTAACAACTTGTATATAATAGCTGTAAAGAAAGATTAATGTGCCCTAACTAGTTTGCCTCAATGGATAGAGCCTCAGCCTGCAGACTGAAAAGTCTCAGGTTCGATTCCGGTCAAGGGCATGTACCTTGGTTGCAGGCACATCCCCAGTAGGTGTGCAGGGGGCAGCTAGATCAATGTTTCTCTCTCATCAATGTTTCTAACTCTCTATCTCTCTCCCTTTCGCTCAGTAAAAAAAATCAATAAAATATATTTAATAAAAAAAAGAAAGATTAATGTGAGTAAATTATTTAGACTTAAATAACTTCAAGAAGTATGACAGACAGCTAAAATGATTTACAAACAAAACATTGCACACAGATTTCTCTTCATATTTTGAATGTATTTCTGACCTCTTCACAGTTTAGGAAGACTTAAGTTTTCTTCTTGTTCCTGCTGTCATCTTTCTTCTCTGTCCATCCAGAGGAGGCGCTGCTCTTCTGCTGTGCCCTCATGTTGGTCTAATTTCCTACTTATCATATACAAATATCTAAATAAAGTGCAAATGCAGAAGGTGAATCCCGCCTTGCCTTTCTAGTGGTATCAGCTGCTTTGAAATGCCCAGACCACCTCCTTGCTCAAGTTTTACTTCTTGAACTCAGAAATTTTACAGTTTTTCTCTCAGTGCTATTCAAGGACTTGTAAGCCAGCTCTCACCATGCTCAGTCATACAGATCTCCCTACCGTGACAGTATCTGGTCTTATGGCCAAGACAATGGTAAAATGTGGAGCAGATTCCTTCAAAACATTTTTGCACAGTAATTATTCATAACTCAGTGGGTTTAGGGATATGAGTTTCCAAAGAGGGCTGGACTATCTGAGAATTGATTTCAAATCTAGAAAAAAAAAAAAAAACAGGTTTGAATTTCCAGAAGAAAAAGATGTATCCTGGCTCCCTGTGACTTGCAGAGCCTTCAACAAATCTCCCATCTAGAGTCCTGATCTCTGGTATGTCAATATGCTTATGGAACTACCACAAAATGGACCCACAGAATATAAAAGTTAGGCTATGCAGCCCAATCCCTCACCTTAATGCAGGAGAAAAGAGGAGGAGAAAAAAAAATATGATATCTCTTCATTTCCTAAGATACGGGCTGGACCATGGAGTGGTAATGGCTGAACATGAGCACGTAATATCTGTAGAGCTTATACATTTTCTTTCAGGGACAATGCATCTCTATATTGGCATTAGATATAATCAAACCTCTATTTTTGACTTTGCACGAACTTCCTCAAATTTAATGCTGTCAGTCCTTAAAAATGTATCATAAAAAGCTACTCTTAGAGGCCAGCTTCAGAATCTTTCTGCCACAATAGACTCTTCCTATTGGCCCCAACTCAGACAGAAGGCACATTAGAATAGAAACTTAATCACGGATTTCTGCTAATAATCACTGACATATAGAGGACTGTCCCTTTCCCTTTCTTGGCCCAATAAAGCAACCTCAAATTATTCTCTATTCCTGCTCTAAATTTACATTTGGAAAAACATATTTAATTAATGTGTCATAATTGAAGGTAAAAATACTATAAGAAAATAATTTTCATATGAGTAAAGTTTTCTTCCAAACGCTATGTAAGAAAACAAATTTAAATATTTAACTTACTTGTTCTTTAAGTCGTTGTTTTTGATATCTAACTTTAGACTCATAAGATATTGCCCGTACTTAAATTCTCTCAGGTTACAGGCAACCTAAAGAACAAAAAAATAAAAAATATATATATAAAAATACAAACATTTAAAATGAACAGCAATCACTTTCAGGAGGAAAAATAATAATAATAATTTGGTAACAATGTGGTATTAATAATAATAAATTCCTAACAATTTATAAGCAGTATCTCTCTAAAATTGTTAAACAACAGTACATTTCTGTTTGATTCTCATTATGTGTTAAAATTTAATTTATGAATTTAGTACACACAACTGATTAATTAAATTATTAAAATAAAATACCAATGTAACAATAGTGTTCAAAACAAATTAGAATACAAAAACAATTATTATTTTCTACAAAGATTCTATCTGGCTAATACTGCTAAGTCTTTATTTTGCCTCAAGTTTAAAAAGTTTTGTAGGACATAATCCTTGACAAACGTACAGAACATTGGAGGCACAGAAAGAGAACTATGATACAGTTGGGAAATTACCTTTAAATCCTCAAATTATTTGGTAATCATATTTTGACATTAAAAATTTTGGGGAGAGAAACTAAGATGGCGGCATAGGGGAACACCGAGATTGCTGCCTCCTACAACAACTTCAGAAACGCAATAAAAGGACAGGACGGTCAACATCCAGAACTACAGGAAGGCTGGCGGAGTGGAAATTCTACAACTAGAAGAAAAGAGAAAACCACATTGAGGGTCAGGAGCTGCGGAAGTAAAGTGCAGAGGTACGGAGGTTCGCGTGTGCGGAAA